GCTGACAGAGTAGCAACAGTCTGTCTGCTCACCCGCTAACTTGTGAGTTTCTATCTAAGTAATTAATGGAAGTAGCACGTTCATTTTTCTTTAATTATTAATTTTGCATTCATCTGAATATTTTAAATAAACTATGAGAATTCTGTGATAAAATCCATTCTGATGAGCACCACGTGGAATAGTTTCTCTTTGCTTTTAATTTGTCCCAAAAAAAAAAAAAAAAAAAAAAAAAAAAAAAAAAAACCAAAGAAACGAAAGCCGAAAAGATCTGACACCATACTAACTGTCCTTGAAGAGGACAAATGCTCGAAAAGCCTTTTGATAGAATCCTAAGTTAAACGCACCTATTCCAAACACAAATAAAATGGTGCATGATCTTTTCTCTTTGCTACTCTTGAAAGTAGTATATAAAGAGACATAACATAGTTGGAGCCGAAATAGATATTTCAGTGTCTCCAATCGCACTTCCATATTTATAAACAAACATAGAAAGTCACGGCAACGAGGTAAAGCTGCACGGGGAGCCACACTACCCAGTTGCAAAGTCAAAAGTCAGGGAACTTGAGTGAGCATGGTGGGCTCCAGCCTGGTCACCTTTCCCACCCTCCATCAGGGGGCAGGAAGCGCTTTCCAAAGGGCCCGACGCTATTACAGACCACGTGACCCAGCCGGCCCTACTGCTCATCACTGTGTCCTTGCAGCCCCAAAGCCAGCGCAGCAGACAGAAACAAATGGAAGTTGCTCTGTCCCCCCGGAAAGATTTAGTGAAGCGTTATTTTCCTCTGAGGTTCACAAGCCCCTAAATATTATCCAATTGATTTTTTTTTTTCTCCCCAGCTACTTAGAAATGTTCAAAAGAAGAGTATATGAAAACAGGCAGTGGAGGGATTTGGTCCACGGGCCATCTCTGCGGGCTCCTTCTCTAGATTTTTGTTTGCCCCTTCAACCTATTAAAAGAAAAATTTATCCCAGAGCTTGTAAAGATGGGAAAGACAACGGCATCAACACTGTCAAATTTGGGGAGAGATTTTGCTCAAGCCCAGACATAAAAACAGTCGGGGATTTATAATCAGAGTACGGGATGGGGGGGTGGGGGTGGGAAGGAGGAAACAACTGTTGACCCATTGCTAAAGGTAAAACAAGGCCAATTCCACCAGTTGTTGCCGTGAACAATTCGACTTCCTATTGAGAGTGGGGGAGAGGTTCCTCTCAAGAGAGCTAACGGGACTCCTGTAAAAAGCTGTGCAGACCCAATAGGCAACAGGGTCAGTGTTGTGGGCTGGTTAAGAGGCCTTGGACCTGGACCAAAGCTTGGCCCAGGACAGCCTTTGTCAAGTAAAACTTTCCCTACTAGTTGTCATTGATATGTGGTGTCCAGCACGTAAAAATCCGCCTGAAAAGCAGGTGAGAAAGGATCGTGTAAGCCTGCTTTTATGAGCTCAACATACAAAAATGTAGGACCCTAAAAATGTCAAACTTTCACCACAACGCATGCCCGTCTGACCCATAAAAATAACATCAGCCATCAGGCCTTTCCTCACTACACACAATTAGCGCCCTGTGAAGTAAGGAAATAGCTGGCAGTTGTCTGCATAGATGAAGTCAATACAGTCTCATTCCTTTGCCAAAAGGCAGGGGAATCAATTGCTGATGTCTCCTCTCGTCAGGCCTACTCCAGGCCAGCTGATGTGGAACAACCAGGCAAGACTGGCTTTGGCTCCCCGGGACTCTTTCTTTTTTGAAAGAATCTACACTACCTTTAAAACAAATGAAAAATGTTAAGAGTCATAGCTTTTGCTTTTACATACCCTCAAGTGGTGGGGTTTAAAACATTTAAGTCAGGATGTCTCTATGGAAACACACACACACACACACACACACACACACACACACACACACACACAAAACAAAACTTGTATTTTATGGCCAGGTGATTACCAGCCTAGAATTCGGTGTTCTATTGTATTATCATAGGCCATCTATGATGTCAGAAGTACCTTGGACCATTTTCCCACAACTCTGTTAGTTATAATGGAGTTTACGTAATGATTTCTTTTATTGAGAAGGGAGTCTAGAGTGGAAGTACTTAGTCCTGGGACTTCCTTTTAATTTTTATTGACAGTGTGCTGTTTAAAATATTCTTACTAGAGAAAAAAATTAAGACTTTTTGGACATACAATAAAGAGGGGACATGAAATCAAATAATTCAGCAGCTGCTTTTTGAATTCATAGAATTAATTTTCCTTCCCTCCCTTCCATCAGTGTCAAACACACTTCCTTATTTAAAAAAAAATTTACAATTTCTTTCCCCACAGACTGCTCATTCACTGCAACCAAGAGGAAAAAAAAAAAAAAAAAAAAAAAAAAAAAAAACTGAGTACGGAGTGAATAAATCAGACATCTTACCCACATGAGCAAAGTTAACGTCACTTGCAGAGTCTGCTGGCCCTTGCGTGCCTCCGGGTGAGCAAAACAACACAAACCAAAAACAAATAAAAAGACCACTCTGATACCCAGAAGACCAGAAGTAATGGCAGAGCAGAGCGGCAGCTGAGTTGAGGGGTGGGGGGGTGGGGGGGCGTGGTTCAGTGGGAGGGTGGGAGCTGGAGAGCACCCAGGAGGCCTAGGCCAGGCCCCAAGGCCCAGGCACTGTGAAAAGGAAATAGTGTGAAAGGCAAAGGTAGCATTCTGGTTGGAAGGAGATAAACACAAGGCAGTAAGGTGTAAGAGAGTCCTAGGAAGCTTTAGGGGGCTGGAGGAAATTCTCTCGGGCGCTTAGCTGAGCCAACTGTTGGGACCCGAACACTGACAATGGATTGAGACACAAGAGCATAGCCTGGTGGTGGAGGCGCGCGCCTTTACTCCCAGCACTTGTGAGGCAGAGGCAGGCCGATTTCTGTGAGTTCGAGGCCATCCTGGTCTACAATAGCTAGTTCCAGGACAGGCTCCAAAGCTACTGAGAAACCCTGTCTCGAAAAACCAAAAGCCACATGAGCATTAGACTCAATGGGTCATTAATTATAGACTGATGATGGCATCCCAGAGCACTTTCAGCTTGAATGTTGAAGTGTCTCAGAGTAAAGGTTTAAAGAGTTCGGTTTTTCCACCCGCCGCCACTCTTGTCCGGCAGCCGCGCCAGCCCCAAATAACACACAGAGACTCTGTATTTGATATTATACTGTTGACCAGGTACTAGTTTCTTATTGGCTAGCTCTGCCTTAATTATTAACCCATTTCTGCTGATCTATGTATTTTCACATGGCCTTCTCTTACCGCAGAGGCGGCTGGCGTCCGGCTCTCTCCAGACTCTCCATCTTGACTCCTCCTTCCTACTTCCTATTTCCTCCTTGTTTCCTAGTCCCTCCTATGTTCCTTTCCTATTGGCCAACAGTGCTTTATTATTAACCAGTATGAGAAACATATACAGAATGACATCTCCCATCATAAAGGACCATGAGGATGCATGCTGCAACTTTTAGAAAACTTGAAGAGCTCTGCGTGTAGGTAGCTCAGTGGCCGGAGGGTTTGCCAGGCGTTCACAAACCCTGACGTTGATTCCCTGGCATTCACAAAGCTGGTACAGTGACAAACACCTGTAATCCCAGCACTCCAGTAGCGGGAGCAGGATTTGAAATTCAAGGTCACTCTCAGCTGGACAGTGAGTTTGAGGCCAGGAGGGACTACATGAGAAACAAAATACAAAGTGGGGGGGGGGGAGTCTCTTAGAAAAACAATCTTGCCTACATTTGGGTCACTGGCTGTGTTCTCCATATTGGAATTGTACAACACAGGAAGAAAAGTGCAGATGTCTTGACATGCCCTTTCGTCAATGATTGCAGCCTGTCAACGCATGACATAACCACCCATCCTCAAATTCTGCTACAAAACCCCAGCAGACACTGGGTCGTCCAGCAGCTTGGATGTGGCCATTTCTCTCTAATGTCTCTTGACCGGGCAGAGACTCTACAGCCTGCCCGAGTCCTATGCCTACTTCATGTGCAAAGAATGGCTCTTAGTCTCTTCTGCACGCACAACCCAATGGTTAGGTAGGTTGGATAAGCTTTCCAGCTGGCCTCTTAATATTTGAAAGCCTTGGCCAAGACTGCTCGAGAGACCAGCGCTCAAGAGTGTTTCACTGAATACAGGTGTACAGTTCCTCGCCTTCTTTTTGAGTTCTGCAGACTTGGTGTGTGTGACATCCACAGGGACCCTGACCCAGGCAGTGGTTGTAGTGGTCCCTAATCTACAACAATCGATCCAAAGTGATTTTTCCCCTACGAAACTATCTATGCCTGTGTCCAAAAACACTGTCAGTGGCTGGAAAGGGAATGTAAAAGGTGGTAAAAAGAAATTAAACTGTTCAACCCTGCTTAGGGATCAGGAAATGTCCCCTAGCCATCTGCTAAGACTGAGAAGGGAAAACATGCTCACTGCTTTACTTTCTGGTGTTAATCTCCTCCCTTCCTAATCCGTGCTTGTCTCTGGGATAAAATGCCCACACGAGATTTCTAACTGTGCTTTTACCTTACTTAGTCTTTTTATTCATTTCTCCCTAAAATTCAAACTAATCACTTTAGCAAAAGTTTACCATGAACCCGCAGCCAGCATGACCCGGTAGTACTCTACAGGCGAAAGATCCCAGGTTACTTGGCCTACAGATAATACCCAGAAAATAATATGAAGTCAGTAAATGTAACGACGTCTGCCAGAAGTGAATTAAGACCAACTGCAAAAGCGAACACACTAGTCAAGGCACTAAAATTTAATGAGAAGACAATTTCTTAGAGTAGATAAAAACAAGAAGAGAAGGTGTGCAGCCCATTACTGTAAATTTGAAATCGTGCGCATTCTTTGCCCATAAAACTTCTGAAATGCCATTTAAAAACACACAGGCACAAAACCACGCAATTACAAATCCCCTGAAGCATGTAACTGTGATTAGCCGCCCCCCCCCCACACACCCCTCCCCACGCCAGCAATATAAAATACTACCGCCACAATCACATTCCAGCCTGTAATGTAATTCAAAACAAACAAGTCGGAGAAGGCGCTCAAATGGCAGAGTCAACAAACACAGCCGCTTTGCATCAAGGACTTGAATGCGCTGAAGAAATGCGGCTGCGCTGGCGCTGGCCCTGCGGTGGAACGGCGAGGCCCCCTGTTGGGCACAGACGCGCACTGCACCTTGCCTGCGTGTGACCCTTCTTGAAGATTTTGTTGTGAGGTCAAATTTTTAGCTACTCAATTTAAATGTTATCAGTTGTATTTGAAAGAGTAATGGCTTTGTCATTTCGGGTTAAATGGATCATTTTATTCAAACCTGTAACCATCATCCCAGCATTCTTATCCCAAGTGTCATCTGACTGTAATTTGGCGGGGGTGGGGGTGGGGGGATCCTACACAGCTCAGGCTTGAAGTCATGACCCTCTTGCTCCTACCTCCCCAATGCTGCATTACAGTGGGTACCATTATGCCCAGCAGCACCTAGCATTCTCCAGCAAGTCACATACTTTTTCACCCATCTCTCATGAGAACGAGGTCTTTTGTTTTGAAGTATAATGCGTCTTTGTTTTGTTCTAGGAAGATATGGACCTTGACACAATACTTGCTCTATTATAAAGAACTACACTTTCAGTTTTATCTTTAAAAAAAGTTTTAAGTGTGTGTGTGTAAATTGTGGAAATGTGTGCACATGTAAGTGTAGGTGCCCAAGGAGTCCAGAAGAGGGTATTGGAGCCCACGGAACTGGAATTACAGGCGGTTGTAAGGTGCCTAGTGTAGGTGCTGGAATCCAACTTGTATCCTCTGAAGGAGCGGTATATATCCTTAACCCCTGAGCCATCCCTCCTGCACTCATTAGTTAACACTATTCCTCTTCAAAGAAGGCAGGAATACAATTTTATTGTAGCAATATGCGATGATTCAAAAATGACCCTTAAGCATTTACTTTAAAAAGCAACCATTTTATCTAAATACTTTAAAAAATGTTCTAGGGCTGGAGAGAAGGGTATCTGACCGTACAGTGGCAGAAGGGACCTGAGCTCAATGTCCTAAACTCACATTTAAAAGAAGAAGGGAGGGAAGCGGGGGGGGGGTGGCACATGCCTGTAATTCCTGCACTAGAGGACACAGGTGGGACCCTGGGCATTCCTGGCCAGCCGGCCTAGCTGAATGATAAGTTTCCGGCCAGTAAGAAACCTGTGCTAACAGACAAACACAGTAGGAAGGAAAGGGGACTACATCTAAGGAAAGGCAACTGAGATTGTCCTTCGCCTCCACACACGAACCCCTGACATACACAGTCATATATAAAATCCTATTACAAACCAGCACGAGCCCAGGTCCCCATACCCTGGCGGAAGCATGCGCAGAACTGGAACACCCAGTAAAAGCCCAAGGCTTTCTTTCTTTCCTTCTACTTGATCAGTCCTCCAAAGACTTTTGTTTTGCTTGTGTGTGTGTGTGTGTGTGTGTGTGTGTGTGTGTGTGTGCGCGTGCACGTGCGCATGCGTGCGTGTGTGGTGTCAATGTGTGATGTGCGGTTTCTGCATTTGCAGCTTGTGTCTGCATTTGTGTGGGAGTAGGTGCACTGTGAGGTCTAGGGTTGAATCCTGGGGGGTCTGCTAGATCACTCTTCACTTCCCTCGCTGAGGCAGTGTCTCATGGGAACACAGAGCTCACCAATAAGGGCTAACCCAACTTGCTTGCTTTGGGATCTCGGAAACCCAATTCTGCCTCTTAAGCACCTGGCATTTGTGCGTGGTGTTGGGGATGGAGGCCTTTTGCTTGCACAGCAGGCTCTTTATCACTCAGTCATCTTCCCAGCCCCCTAAGAGCTTCCTTAAGACCGGGACTAAGGCTGTGGCTGAAACAGGCACTGTTTGCTGAGCTCTGTGACTTCAAAAGCTTAATCTTTCCCCTCCCTGAGACACTCTTTCAGCTTGGGGAGAGCTAATAGTTGTTTACGTTTGTCAGACTTTAAAAAGGGCTCATTTGTTCCCTTAACAGAGCAAATGACATATGAGGAGAGACACCATTTTCCCACGCAGTAACAACAACATATAAACATGGCCAGTGAAGGCAGCCGCTCTCAGTCAGGAATTCTGTCCAGGTCCCCAAAGGGCACCAATCTTCCATCAGAACATCAGGATTTCTGACAATCCTTTTTCCGAACTTTTGATTTTGGTGCTGAAAAAAAAAGACAGAGAGAGAGAAACGGAAAATGAGGAATGCCAAACTTTGCTCACGCCGAGTTTTTTTTTTTAAGGTGGGCACTGTACTTGGAGAAAACTGACCGTTTGGGTTTTCTTGTTTGTAGAAGGTCTTTAGGAGTTCCACAGCCTCCTCGGCACGGTACCCAGGGATGCACTGAGGAAGGGAGGAACAGTAGGTAAGCACTGGCAGTTACTTTGTGTGGGTTATACCCCAACAGCAATGTATACCCAGCTACGACATGAAGAGACTCCACACAATATTCACTAGGCAGGACAAATATTAGCATGGATAAAGATGTAAATTTCTAGGGTTTCACCAAGCATGGGATGCTATTTACCTAGTGCAGGTAAACTATTCGTGGTAGAACAAATCTAGTCCACAGCTAAGAATGACAAGCTAGCAATCATTTTTATACTTCTAAGAGATTTTTCCCCCAAATATTATTAAACCAAACACTATGTGGCAGAGACATGTTTCTCACAATAGCTAAAAATATTCACTATCCGGTCCTTTACAGGAAACAGTTTTCAAGTTTTGCTTTGGAAAATTTAAGAAAACTGTTGAGTTTGTTTTCACTCTGGGATCTGGGCAGAAGAGACGCCAATAAAAGACGAGAGCTATAAGGAACAATGGATGAAATGTGGGGTAAAGATGAACCTGAACATGTACAGAAGCTAGAAAGCACACTTTTGGGAGGATGGGGAGGATGGGGGAGGATGGGGGTAAAATGGGGGAGGATGGGGGAGGGTAGGGGGGAAGATGGAGGATGGGGAGGATGGGGAAGATGGGGGAGGATGGGGGAGGATGGAGGAGGATGGGGGGAAAACAGGGGGAGGATGGGGGAAGATGGAGGAGGATGGAGGGAGGGTGGGGGGAAAATGGGGGAGGGTGGGGGAGGATGGGGAGGATGGGGGAGGATGGGGAGGGTGGGGGAGGATGGGGGAGGATGGGGAGGATGGGGAGGGTGGGGGAGGATGGGGAAGGATGGGGAAGGATGGGGGAGGGTGGGGGGAGGAGGGGGGAGGATGGGGAGGGTGGGGGAGGATGGGGGGAGGATGGGGAGATGGGGGAAGGATGGGGAGGGTGGGGGAGGAGGGGGGAGGATGGGGAGGGTGGGGGAGGATGGGGGGAGGATGGGGAGGATGGGGAGGATGGGGGAGGATGGGGAGGGGTGGAGGAGGATGGAGGGAGGGTGGGGGGAAATGGGGGAGGGTGGGGGAGGGTGGGGGGAAATGGGGGAGGGTGGGATGGGGAGGATGGAGGGAGGGTGGGGGGGAAATGGGGGAGGATGGGGGAGGGTGGGGGAGGATAGGGGGAGGGATGGAGGAGGATGGAGGGGAGGGTGGGGGGAAATGGGGGAGGATGGGGGAGGGTGGGGGAGGATAGGGAGGAGGGGGGGAGGATGGGGGGAGGATGGAGGGAGGGTGGGGGGGAAATGGGGGAGGATGGGGGAGGGTGGGGGGGAAATGGGGGAGGATGGGGAGGATGGGGAGGATGGGGGAAGATGGGGGAGATGGGGAAGGATGGGGGAGGGGTGGGGAGGAGGGGGAGGATGGGGGAAGATGGGGGAGAATGGGGGAGGATGGGGGAGGATGGGGGAGAATGGGGGAGGATGGGGGAGGGTGGGGGAGGATGGGGGAGGATGGGGGAGGATGGGGAGGGTGGGGAGGATGGGGAGGGTGGGGGAGGATGGGGAGGATGGGGAGGATGGGGGAGGATGGGGGAGGGTGGGGGAGGATGGGGGAGGATGGGTTGTGTGTGTGACGGGTTTGGAAGGGCAGGGGAAAGACATTAAACACATATGAGGTGGGGCCAAAGGCTCGGGGTTTTGCACTAGGCTGGAGAGACTGGAAAGGCTCTCACCCACCCTGCTGAAGTTTATGGAACAATACAGTCATGCTCAACAAGCTGCCTAGCCAGGCACCTGCAGACTCTCTGGGGCTTTGCTCAGAGTGAGCTTCCCTTTCCAAAGCACCGGCCTGCTCTTGCCTCGGAACATTCCAGACTTCACCTTCGGTCTCGTTTCCTCCTCATCTCACCCCCCACTGTCTTATGCTCTCAAGAGGCCATTGCAGCTGCCCCGGGACCGGTGCCATCCAGTTCCTCTACCTTCACTCTGCAGATGTCCGCCTGAACCCACCGGGCCCTCTTCCCCAGGGGCTGGGAAAGCAGAGCTGCTCCGTCAATGCTGTTAATTACATGGGCAACCTCTGCAAGCACAGACGCTCATCCCTGCCTTGTTACCCATCTGACCCACAGTCTGGGCACAGACAAGTGCAAGACCCCTCCAGGAGGAGGGCAAAAAGTAATAGTAAAAAATAGTCAAAATGAAAATGATGAGTCTATCTAGCAAGCTAGCATTCTGACACACCACAGAGCTACCCACATGTACTTTTAACAAAAATAATATTCCAACAAAAACTTAATGTTTTAAACAGAAGAGATATTAAAAATGAATACCCATCTTTTTAAAAAAAATAGTTCCACAGGACTCTGAATTTTATGCTGCCTATAATACAGTATTATAACCTACAGAATCTATAACCCTGACATAAGATCCCACCTCCCCTTTGTCCTTTGTCCCATGAACCCAGACAGAGGAAAGGAAGGAAACACAGCATCCAGAAGCCTGGACCACCAAGGTGTTAGTGCTTCCAAAGACCTCCTTGACCTATGCTTTCAAACCATAGGCATTTATTTCCCATTGAGCCAATATGGCCACATAGATGACCTGGAAATGAACTTTTCAGGTTGAGAAAGAGTGACTGCACAGAGACCCCCCTGAGAGAGAACTGCTCAAGACTTCTTGTCACCAACATTCTTTCTATTTGTGTGTGTGTGTACACACGAGCGCACGCTCGGGATGTACACGTGTATGTGTGCAACTAGCAGGCAAGTGGAGCCCAAGCACATTCCACCTTATGGACACAGAGTCTCTCATTGCATGATGCCAAGTACAGCAGGCTGGCTGGCCAGGACTCTCTTTGTCTCTGCATCCCATCTCATCACAGGAGCCCTGGATCCCAGATACTGGCTTCGGCATCTGGTTGTCTGGTCTTCATACTGCATGGTAAACACTTTATTCGCTGACTGAGCTGTCTCCTTGGCTCCTCACCTACACTTTAGAAAGTAATGTTCAACCTATGTCTGAGCCCCAAGGACACATCTTAGTTTTGCCCAGAAACTCTGAGAAATTAGTTAGGAGCCAACAATCCGTGCAGTTACATTAGCAATGTTTGGGCGGCTCCTAGAAATGACTGGAACAATGAAGTCACTTTGCAGACGTCTTTAATAATCAACCTCATTTACTCCCCATCACTCTCTTACAGTTTCTGTCTGACGTGATGGTAAAGGTATCTGTTCTTAAATACAACAGTGGCCAGGAGACACTCGGCTGGAAAACTCAAGGCAGAATGCTTAACAAAACTTGCTCTGTGTAGGACTGGGGCTCTGTAAGTTCTCACTACAGCCTATGAATCTGTGAGGTCTTCAAGGGAAACTCCAACCTTTACTGAATCTTTTTCAAGTGCAGTGCCTTGGGATTAATCCTCTGTCTTGGAGAATGAACCAGTATAGAAAACTGGGTATGTATCCAGACAGTGTAGATTCCTAATGCTTACACATTCAACTATAAAACTTCCAACAGTGTGACAAGGAAATTAGAATTAATAATAGCTAAGATATTAAGTTCTCTGGTCTTGGGGAAGCCCCAGCATTAAAAGGCATCAAAAAATAATGAAATCACAATGACAACTGGAAAGTAATAATGGTTCGTGACAGAGTGATGGAATTTGTGCCTAAATACTGTTGTCTGTGAACAGCATCCAGGTCACTGATACAGGCCAAGTTCCATCACCACTCACAAAGCTAGCATTGGCTCCAACAGACAGACCGTCTCTAAGCTCACACAAAGTGCCAGAGAACCCCATTGGGAGCTAACAGTTCAGGGTAAATTGCAGACTCCGCCGTGGAACACAATCTGGAAGTGAAGAGAAGGCACACACATTTTCCTCCAGTGAGATGTAACCTAGGGCCCCAAGGTAATGTCGGATTTTGTTATGGGCTTTTGTAATACTGACCACACATGATTGGCAAATCCATCAGGAGATGGATAAACAGAAGAAAGGGGTGAGGATGACGATTAGGATGGAGGGAGGGAGGGGAGGGGAAAAGAGGGAGGTAGAGGGAGGGAGGGAGGGAAGGAGGGAGGGAGGGGAGGACATAAGCAGAATCTATTACCTGGAACGGTCTCCCAGTATTGGGTAGGTCAGCAGAGGCAATGTTTAGGACGGAACCACAACCACCAAACCGTTCATTCTGACAGCCATAGACGACCAGCGGGATTTATAGTACAGAATTAAAGTCTGTCACGCATGTGCAGAACCATGGCAAGGGCAGGATGATGCTAGCTAGCCACCTTCGAAACCTCAGTCCAGACTTCAAAACAATGAAAGTTCATGGTTTAAAGTAATAAAATGCACTTATACAATAGAAGAGAAAGAAGGTTTGAGCATCTAGAAACCAAAACATAGCAGTCGTGGGTCCTAAAAATGGCCCAGCTGGCAAAAGCCCTTGCCATGCAACCAGAGTTTGATCCTGAGAACCGTGCGAGTCAAAGGAGAGCCAACTCCTCAGGATTATTCTCTGACCTTCACATATGTGCCATAGAATGTGCTGGCCCACATCATCATAATAATAATATAATAATACATAAATTCAAAAGATGAAAACCTGGCCATTGTAAATGGAACAGAGAGGCCCTTACATTTAATATGCAATTTAATCAATTCTCTGCTCTTTCCAAAGTCACTTTTGGAGAACCATTGCAGAATTGGAAAGTTAATTCATTATTTCACCTTTCAAAATATGTAGCATAATCCCAGGAACCCACTGTAAAACAAGAGAATAGATTCCTGAAAGTTGTTCTCTGATTGAATACAAATGCCAATGGCATGCCCATGGTCCCACAATAAATACATCAATTTAATTCAAATGTAAAAGGGTGGATGGTAGCTTCGGGTGGTGGCATGTGCCTAAAATCCTAGCCTTTCAAGAGTGGAGAGTCAGGATCTTAAGGCCAACCAGTATTGTGAGCGCCATGCCAGCCTGGGCTATGTGAGAGCTGGCCTGGGCTATGTGAGAACCGGCCTGGGCCATGTGAGAGCCGGCCTGGGCCATGTGAGAGCCGGCCTGGGCTATGTGAGAGCCGGCCTGGGCTATGTGAGAGCCGGCCTGGGTTATGTGAGAGCCGGCCTAAGCCATGTGAGAGCCAGCCTGGGCTATGTGAGAGCCGGCCTAAGCCATGTGAGAGCCAGCCTGGGCTATGTGAGAGCCAGCCTGGGCTATGTGAGAGCTGGTCTAAAAGCAAAAATAAGAAACCAGACCAAAATAATCACCTAAACAAAAGCCCCCCCCCCAAAAAAAAATAGCCACATTGTTCTCTCTGCAAGGCAGGAGAGGAAAATGGCCTAATAAATCCTCTAGTAACGGTGTCAACAACTCCTCTTACATGGAGACAGTATGCTTTATTATACCCAGAAGGCCCTCTGCATTATTTTAAGTAATAAAAGCATACATACTTTTAAAAACAAGTGAAGATGCACAAATGAAGTAGTGTGCTTGCCTGGCACTCACAAGTGCTATAAAATGAATAAATAAGGAATAAATACACCCTCAAAGCTGACTACACCCTGCATGTAGGTTGCTCACTCTAGGCAGGACACAATCCAGCCACGGAACACTAACTCACTAATATCCACGCACACACGTACAATGAGCTCCTTGAACTCAGTGTGTTTGTACTTTGTGACAAAACAGATTGACAGAGAACAGTTAAATTACCCACAATCTGCCATCCAAGGGCAAAGCATATTCCTCAGAACGCATTCCTCAGAACGCGTCTGTCCTGTGCTCTAACTGAATTTGGTGTAATCCTCACTCTCGCAAGAGTGTTAGTTCCAAGCTTTGCTCTCTGTAGCTTATGGATTGGGCAGTTCCTTGGCTATTTGGGCAGTTCCTTGGCTATTGACACAGAGAAAGAACAGGAGACGTTACTGAGGAAAAACAGTCTCTCCGGTCTCTGGCTAAATTATACAATGTGTCTCATAACTGTTTCCACACTTTAAGAGACTCAAAGCTGGGGAGTGGCTCCATAACAGAGCATACTCTTAGCCTGGCTTCCATCCCCCCCCCCCCCAAGGAAAAGAAAAACAAACAGTCAAAGGGGAAACAATGTGTCTCGTATCTGGCCGTTTCCTTGTGCTCGGGCAACCGAAAGCCAAAGGATACTCATGAGGCGGACAGCGGCTGCACACATGATACAAGGTTCCACGGTGACATACAACACGGTGTGTTCAAACACTTCTGCAGGACTACGGCTGTGTTGATGGCACCAGTCTAGGACCTGATCGATGGCCACCATTTCAGCATGCCGAGTAGCCTTGAAAGAGAGAGAAGGCAGGACGTTGATGCGGCTGGTTTCACACAGCCGAAGCCTTTAAAAAATGCAAAACATAAATTCAAAAAGCACACTCCTGCCTTAGAACCCTAGGTTTCAGAATGCCCGTAGTAGCTGCCCAGTTCAAATTCATTACCTCACCGACAGGATGCCTAATCCAAGACATTACACAAACATGTGTTGCTATGGTTTTAGTGAAATTCCCATGTACCTTGGGGGGAAGTTTTCATTAAAATGTTATAGATACTAAGTCTCAAAAAAAAAAAAAAAAAAAAAAAAAAAGAAAAGAAAAGAAAGAAAAGAAAAGAAAGAAAAGAAAGAAAGAAAGGTGTCTGTGGTTTCTGGATATTTCAAGGGAAGGTTGAAATTTTCATAGGCTCCTCCTCTAGTTTCAGAGAGTTTCAACTGACCCTACTCTAAGGCAGGGCTTCATTGAACAAACCAGACTATCGTCATACACACCGTAGGAGAGGAGATTTCCCAGCACAACTGATTCTAAAAATACACAGACCTGACACTTCAGCTAGTCCCTGGGAGACAGTACTACAGGAGAGATCACCCAGCGTCCACGTGGGTCCAGTCCTACCAGCATCTGAGTCCTGACAGTGATGCACTGTTGGTCTCAATCAAGCTTTGCATCTCCGTGTCTAGAGTTTACTGTTCCCTCCTCTGCCGCTCTCGAGCAATCGGAGTCTCCCTAGCACAGGGTGGTGCGATGCTGTTCAGGTACTCTTCACCTTCTTTCTCCTTTCCTGCAGTGGTGAAGGCACGGCTCGAAGATTAAAAGCCCTCGTTGCTTTTGTACAGGTCCAGAGTTCAGTTTCTAACACCCACACTGGGTGGCTCACAACAGCCTGTGAGTCCAGTGAGCTCCAGCACCCCTGAAGGCACCTGAATGCTTATGACACACACACAAACACACACACACACACTATTGTGTACCGGTTTCCTCTGAGATAAAGCCTTCGACTTTAGACATGAGTTCCTTAAGACCCAGGATGTTCTAGAGCAGAGGTTCTCAACCTCCCTAATGCTGTGACCCTTTAATAGTTTTTCATGTTATGGTGACTCCCCCCCCCAACCATAAATTATTTTCTTGTTACTTCATAATTGTAATCTTGCTACTGTTGTAAATCATAATGTAAATGTGTTTTCTGATGGTCTGGGGACAACCGCTGTGAATGAGTTATTTGACTCCTAAAGGGGCCATGACCCAGAGGTTCAGAACTACTGTTCTAGGGGGAGGAGAAACATTCCTTCCCGCAGGAAGCTCAGGAAGTAAATATCTCAAAGTCCCTGAGACTGACTGAATACCCTCCTTCCCCAATGCATATAAGCAAGCAATAAGGGCTGGTAAGGGACACAAAGCCTGGCAGTGGTAGTATACCCTTTAGTTCCAGCACTCCAGAGGCAGAGGCACATACATATAAAAGAAAACAAGCCTCCAAAATAACTTACAGCAAACTCCTAAACACATGTAACATACCGATAATTAAGTCAAGAAGATATAGACAGATTAAAACTATGATACCCTAATGAAACTGAAACAATAATCAAAAGTCTCCCACAAAGAAAAGCCCAGGACTGGATGAATTCATGGCCAAATTCTACCAAACTTTTGAGGAAGATTTAATACCGGTATTCCTCAGACTCATCCACAAAATAAAAAGGGAAAGAACCTTACCAACCTCTTACAATGCAAGTCTTAACCTGGTAATAAAGCCAGACGAGGGTACAACAAAGAAAACTCTAGGTCATTTTCTTGATGAACACAGATGCAAACTTTCTCAATATTCTCACAGACCGAATGCGAGAATGCAGTAGTTGTTCACACATTACAATCAAGCTGCTTTAGTTCCGGAGGTGCACGGACGGCTCAACATATACAAATCAGTTAAGTGCAGGGCACTACATCATCTAAAAGAAAACTGAGCATCTCAACAGATGCAGAAAAGGAAACAGACAAAGTTCAACATGTGTTCGTGATAAAAGTTCCTGAAAAGAGTAAGAATAGAGGCGCTATAACTTAATATAAAAACCGCCCTATGTGGCAAGCCTACAGCCAACAAACTAAATGAGAAAAAAACTTAAGACATTTTCTCAAGAAATCACACTATGAGACAAGAGTGATCACTTTCTCTCCTCTTATTCAAAATAGCGTTCAAAGTCTTAACTAGGGCAGCAGGGCCCAGAGAAGGAAATGAAAGGCATATAGATCAGAGAGGAAGAAATGAAATTATCTCATTTTTGGATGACATGATACTGTACTTAAGGAGCCTTGTGGATGTAAAGAAAACCTTTACATCTGACATTTTCAACAAAGTGGCAGGGTAAAAACTTAGCATAGACAAAAAACAGTAGGTTTCTATATACCAATAACCAACTACTCAAGAAAGAGACCAGGAAAAACATATCTCACCTTCACAATAGTTTTTAAAAACTACCTAGAAGTAAATTGCATTAATGAAGTCAATAATGTACTATAAGGAAAACTCAAGACATTCAAGAAAGAAATGTAAGAAAATAGAAAACAGAAGGCCTGCCCATGAGCATGGATTAGCAGAATTAGTATTGTGAAAATGGCTGTATTACCAAGAACAAGCTACAGAGTCTATGCAATCCCCATCAAAATCCTAATGGCAGTCTTTGTGAAACTATAACCTTTGCAAAACTAACCTCAATATGGAACCACAAAAGACTCTAAATAGCTAAAGCGATCCTAAGCAAAAAGAACAATTCTGGAGGGATACATTACAATATCTGACCTCAAATTACTCTACAGAGTCATCGTGACAAAACAGTAGATACTGGCACAAAAACAGGCATAAAGATCAGTGAAATGGAATAGAGAACCCAAAACAAATCCGCCTAGCTATAACCAACTGACATTTGACAAGTATAAAACCACGCATTGGAGAACAGGTAGGTAGCCTCTTCAACAAATGGTACTGAGGAAACTGGATTTCCACACCCATGACTACCATTAAACCCGTTTCTTTCACCCCACACCAAAATCAATGTCGAATGAACTAAAGGTGTTGATATAACATCTGAAACGTTTTAGCCCCTAGGAGAACTTTGGGGACTACTTCAAGAGATAGTAGGTATGAGCAAAAAGTTCCTGAAAAAGGTTGCAACAGCACAGGCAATTGGCAGCTTGAGGAACTGGTGCACAACAAGGAAAACTAAATGCAGAATGGAGAGAGGGGCTTCAGGATGGGAGAGAATCTCTGCCAACTCCACCTTGCTGTGAAGACACCATGACCACGGCACCTACATGTAGAAGAAAGCATCTAACTGGGGGCTCGCTTATAGTTGCAGGGGGTTATGCCCATGATCCTCCACGGCAGGGAGCATGGCGGCAGACAGGCACAGTGCTGGAGCAGGAACTGAGAGCTATACCCTGATACACAAGCACAAGGAAGAGAGAATGAGACAGAGACATGCAGAGAGACAGAGAGACAGAGACTAGGTCCGTCCAGGACTTTGGAACCCTCAATGCCCACCCCTACTGACACACCTCCTGCAGTATCTCCTAATCCCTCCTAAGCAGTTCCCCAACTGGGAACCACACATTCAAATATTTAACTGGACTGGCTCATTTTTATTCAAAGGCCCCCATGCATGAAAACTATGAAAGGGGAATAAGAGTTGTTAAGGGAGAGTGAGTTGGAGAAGTGAAAAAAAATAAATAAAAAATAAAAAAAAAAATGGCTGCCCGGAAGTAGAGGCCTTTAATTCTAGAACTTGGGAGGCAGATCTCTGAGCTCAAGGCCAGCCCGGTCTACAAAGCGAGTTCCAGGACAGCTAGTGCTACACAGGAATCCTGAATCCTAGCTTGACATACATAAAAAACAAAACACAACAAACAAAAAACACAGGGCAACAGACTCCAAGAAAGCAGAAGGGGATTAGCTAGCTGTGCAGGACGGGAAGAAGGCCACCAACGAGCATGTATGAAAGTCTCCCAAAGAAATGTATTACTTTGCACACAGATTTTAAAAGAAAACTACCCAAACCGTCCAAAACTTTCTATGCAATAATTTATAACACCTGTGACAGTAACTTTTATCAACAATTGAAACTGAGTGCTAACTCTATACAAGCTAACTAAATTCTATACGTGACTTTAAAAAAAAAAATCTGTCCTCAACAACCTGGGTGAGGTTAACAGAAAGGCGTCCTTTTCCTGTGACTTAGAGCACAGTGAGAGAAGATCTGGCATTGGCCCACGATGCTGTGATAAGCCAGTGGCAGGCAGGGGCAAACCTGTGTGAATACAGAATCAGAAACCGGGGACAGGTTTCTTCTATAGAAGAGGGTATGGCTCTGGATGCATACCAAGGCAACAAGAGGACTTAAGACCAAAGATTCCTCCAATTGGAGTCTTTAAAGCTCAGATTCGGGATTCCTGAGAGATGGCATCCTCACGGCTCTCAATAAATGCCAGTTGAACTGAAATCACCTATGCTGGCTTATCATGCATTGAGAACACACAGGGAAAGAAGGTGGGGAGTAACAGAGTGGTGTGGCTATCAAAGCCCAAAGCAGGACTCTGGGCTCCTCACACTAGAGCCCACAGTCTTTGTATGCGGCAGGAATAACCCCGGTGGCTAACTCCTGGTTAACTTTGTCTAAGAACAGAACTGCTAGGTAAGCATCAACATGGCCTCTAACCTTAGCACAGCTTACAGATCTGGGTTCCTACCTGACATGAGCTTTGCTAAACCTCAGGGTTGTGATGGATGAGCTTTAAAGGCCTCAGAGCCCCAGTGCTGAGAGCAGACTGTTCTATGCTCCCAAAGCACATAAGACCAGAGTCCACAGGAATGGCCTTCGGCCCATCTGGTGCTATATTACAGCTCTTCCACCTACTTCCACTTCCCAAACAAGTCTACAGAGACACAATATTGTGCCACCATGTTTAAGAAGCACTGCTTTAAGCCATGACCTCTGCAATCTCCCAATACATCAGTAAGTTGTTAAAGCTGAATCACATGGAGTTGAAGACAGCTCATCCGGAAAACCTTATTCCACTGACTATCCAAAATGTTGTCTCCAATATAATCCTTCTATGCTTCCCTCCAGTTTGTACACCGAGGGTTCCCCCTCCCTCCCAGAAGGAAAAAAAAAAAATGTAAAGAAACAAAAAGGAAGTCATTACAAGTTAAAAGGCTCTCCTTTGCAAAGGTTCATTTCCAGGTTGAATTTGCTACAAGCTGCCTGTGAACTCCGTTCTTCTGCACTGACATTCCAATGTAACAAAATTCCTTCTTGGGTTTCACTCATGTATTAAAGGGAAACATAATGAAATAAAAAAACAAAGAAACAAACAACATTTTTTAGCTTTTGGTTAGTATCACAAATGTAGAAATAGGAATCCACTAGAATTATATATATAATATATAATATATATACATATACATACATATATGTATGTATATATGTATGTATATGTATATATATTATATAATCAGCAATAAAAAAAAACAAAAACAAAAAACAAACAAAAAAACGGACATTACAAAGGAAGAAAAAGAGATGGCTGGGGAGATGGGCTCCGTAGGTAAAGTGCTTGTTGGGAAAAAAAGAGGACCTGAATTCAGAGCCACAGCACCCATGTAAACAGACACAGACCCATACAGTCATAGACAAACCAGGGTAGAAGAAAGGAAACCACAGCGAGGGGGTTCCTAGGGCTCCCTGGTCAGTTACCCTAGCTGAACGGATGAGCTCCAGGTTCTGTCTCAAAAGTGGAAGGTGAGAGAGGAAGGCATCTTGACCTCAACCTGCACACGCACGCATGCACGCGCGCGCGCACACACACACACACACACACACACACACACACACACGTCACATTTGGTCTTGTCTTGCCATCTGGTCCCCACCATGGCTATAATATATGTTTTATTTATACTGCTCAACTCACATTTTTCGTTTGATTCACTTCATTTCTTCCCTTCCCCACAACTTCATTGTTATAGACCATCAGACAGCCAACAGGAACTTCAATATTTTCGAGTGCTTCTTTGGCCTGAAACACAAAGTGGAGAATCTCAGAGGCGCTGGGCAGTGTTTGAAAGGCTATGCAAAAGAAGGGGGAGTGAGAGCAGATGTGTGGATAATGACCAGGACAAACATTCCTCCACTTTCCCTTCTCAAATCTGCTGCGCTATGGAGTGCTGTGTTCTCGCCTACGTTAAGAAGGACTCGGGAACGGCTCCCTTCACAGGTCCCGGAGCCTTATTTTCTCTCCCTGGAAGCACATATAATGAATGGCGTTCTTTAAATGCCAAAGCTACCCCTTCTCAGAGATGATGTGCATATTTGCAAAGAGGAGGGACAATATATAACACACGTATATATTTTGTTACAATACTTTCCCTTGATAAAATTCTACTCAATTACTTTTTTAAATAAAAGGTTCTCTAAGAAGACAGAAACAATCCCATGGAGTACCAATACCATAAAAATGATCAGACTGGATGTCGCTCCACCCCACACTTCTATTCTAAGAGACACACGTAAGCTTAAGGATACTTTATGTAAGAATGGCACAAACTTGGGAAGCTGGCAATAAGGCTTTCAGTGAGCCTATTTCCTGGAGAGCTGGAGATGTGGTCACATGAGCAGCTTCAAACACAGAACAGAATCAAAGGCTGGGCCAGTGATATGGTTCAGCAAGAAAAGGGACTGCCTGTGAAAGCCTGATGACCTGAGTTCAATCCCCAGATCCCACAATGGAGGGAGAAAAATCTCTGTCCTCTCAACAGATGTCCTCTAATCTTAATACATGCGTGCCCTTCGCGACCGTGCAAGCCCACACGCATGCGTGCACACACAAATAAATTATTTTTAAACTCCCCAACCAAGTAGGAAGTACCTAAGTGTACCAAGAGCTCTGTCCACTGTGCACCTGACATGGTACACAGCACCATCTAGCAACCTTTCTCTGCTCCCAGATCAACAGAGGACTGGGTGTCTTGGTCCCTAGTTCCCCTGGGTCCTCTCCTTTCCCTCCCAGTAAATTTACCTCACTAGAAATGATAGCACTGACTTAAAACAACAAACAGTACTGAGAAGGAATGGCTTTGTAGGACATGCTGAGGGCGAGTGGCTGAGCAATGATAATGATGGGCCAGAGAAAGAGAGGTGAGAGGAATCCAGTCTCTGGGAGTCGACTCGGAGGTACCATTTTCCAGTACGTAAAACTGTGCATACGTTTCCGCTACTGACAAGTTTTAAAACCTGTTTAAAAGCTGGAAATCCATGTCACTCCACCCTACCTCAGACTTTCCAACGCCCCCCCCATCGCAAGTGCAAAAGAGTCCAAGTAAAACAGATCTAATTGTGTAGATGGCTTTGACCTTAAGACGCCAGCCTTCTTCGGAAGAGGCCAAAGTTCTGCCACTCAAATGGGGAGTTGATCTTCCTTAAACTAACACATTCTCAGCTTCAGCTTCAAAACTGAAGAACAAAGGCTCTCTTCATATCACCCCAGGTTCTGAGAAAGACCACAAGGCCAAACAAAAAAGTTATTAATTAATAATAATATAAAGGAGAAATATTCCACTTATTTAAAAAATGCATTTCTGTTTTCACAAGGTCGGAAATACATGAAGGGTGCTCACAAAATGTCAGCAGTGCTATCTCTGATGTCAGGACTTTTAGGCAATTTTTACGTAAGTCGTGAAATGTTCTCGAGTTTAATTTCTCATGAATTTAAACTTTTGTGACCATCAGAATAAGAAGTTGAAACAGTTTAACTTTGTAAAAGAATAAACGGAACGGATATTCCTACATCAACGACTGAGTTCAGTTTCTTGACCTTTATAAGGATGTAAACCAATTAATGTGTAGATGGCTATACCACTAGGTCCCTGTGTAGTACCTTCCATCATGTTCACAGAATGAAAACCTCCATCAGAAAGACTTCTATCCCTGGCACACATCAGGATGGGTAAAGCTTGGAACAGCATGTACATACCACCAGAGCCCTGCAGTATTAGCAATCCCTGAAGGGATCGAAGAAAGGGGATACAAGGTCAGAGAAAAGTGTTGTAGAAAGAGCGAGTGATAGATGAGGATTGTACTGGCACACGTTTTCAATGACTCTTTACCAGAAACTTCTTCAGCTTCCTTGCATTATATATGTTCAAGGGTGTGGGGAGCAAGGCACAAAATAATGTAGCTGTGTGGGTTTGAAATTCTGTGTCAATCCATGGAAAGGAAGATAGGCAGGGAGGTAGAAGAGCAGCTAAGGCTACATATAACACACACAGCACACCAGTCGCTACATTTTCCCTGGACTCCAACTCCTATGAGACAAAGTCAAAGCACACCTCCCGAGAATACAACAAGCTGTTGATTTAGAGGTTCCGAGAGCCGATGGGCAGTGGTGCTGAGAAAGAGCGCCAGGCACATTTGCTCAACTACGCAGGGTCGGGACGGGCCCACGTTTGCACTCTCCTCATCCACCTGCCGGCTTCCTCACCATTCGCATCGCCTCCTCCATCCACTTCTCGGTCTCCCGAGCCGACACCATGCACGCGGCGGGGGAGCCCACCTGGTCCTCCATGCCGCCGCCACCCACGCACCCGGGCCGAGGAGGAGCGAGGACCGCGGCGGAACGCGGCGGGCGCGGGCCCTGGCTTCCGGGAAGACACTAAACGGGGAGGCACCCGGGAGCTGTTTGCGGACGGACCCAGGCGGCCCGGCCCAGTGAGCAGCGGCGGCTGCGGGAGCCAGGGCGCCGCCGCTCCGCTGCAGTCCACGCCCCCTTCCCCTTCCTCCGCCGCGGCCGCAGCCTCCGCGCCCAGCAGCGACTGTGGCTTCCGAAGAGCGCCCAGCGCCGCCGCCGCGCTCCTGCCCGAGGGGAGGCGCGGCCCCGGGGGACGACGCCACGGTTTCCTGGTGAGCCAGCCCCTGCCTCTTCCCCTAGGCAACCCACGCAGCCCCGGGTCCGAGGATGCTGAGATCCATGTGGAATTTTCTGAAACGTCACAAAAAGAAATGCATCTTCCTGGGCACGGTTCTGGGAGGTGAGTGGCAGCGTGCTTTGGAAGGGGACGTCGGCAGGAAGGAGCGACCGGGGTGACATCTAAAACAGGCAGGGCCCGCGGATCCTAGCGCAGGCTGCTGTGCAGGGCAGAGTGGCTCAACCGTCCAAGGAGACCCTCCCAGGCCCTTTTAGCTCCTCGCTCTGTGCCCTCTGCCCCTGTTTCTGCCCCCCACCCCCACCCCCACCCCGGACCTCGGGACCCTGCCCCAATGGGGTTTCTTTTCCAATCACTATACTCGTATGGGTACATTTATTTGCCTCCCGGTCCCCTTCTGTTGCTTCCCTGCTAGATTTCTTCATTCTTTTTGGCAACTCTAGTACTCTGACTTTCAACCTCTCACAGGGGTTTCGAAATATCCTAGGGCAATTAGCTTAACTCTGCACTTTGCTGCGGCGGTGTCCAAAGTTAAACTTGGAACAGCTGTAACATGTTGCTGTAAGATGCACTGGATAAGTTGGGGGGGGGGGGGGAATAAGTATTTAAGAGTCTCCAGTTCTAAAATACAAGATTGTCTAGGTTGTGGCCGTTGCCCATTCTGCTGATATAGTTGAGTTTACTGGCTGAGAGGAGAGTTAGACGTAGGATGAAAATCTCAATAGTGGACTTGTGGATTTGTCATAGAGTGCTTGCTTAGGCTAACTGCATTTTGGATCTCAAACAACACATAGCTTTAAACACTTCGTCTTCGTAAAACACTCACTTCATAATTCTGGGACTTTAAGAAGGAGATAGAAATCTTTTGAATCACACAAAAAGGAAACCTGGAAACTTTATAAAGGAATTTTTAATCCTTGAGTTTTAAGAAATATCACTCTTCTCTTATCCTAAAATAGTAGGTCACTGATAAGACAATGTCATATTCTGCATATATCTGAAGTGTATCATAATTGGGTAATGACTGATAATCACCTTTGAGAAATACTATATGGATACGATGTGTTTTCTATTTCCTTCAGCCTCTAATATCTAAGGTGTATTTAAATTGTGCCAATACTACAGAAGGCATGCATGAAAGATAAAGATGGATGTGTCATTGAAGACATATAAATAAAAGTGTTTGGCCTGCCAAAGGAAATGAAATTGCCCCTTACAATTTCACATGGGGACATCCTACCCCTTAATCACAGGAGAAATTAAAGAGTATATGGATGTAGTAACAGATTGTCTTTTGGAACTCTATTGAGAGCTTTATAATTGCAGATTAAGAGGAAGGAAAAAGCTGGCTGTTGTGGCTCATGCCTTTAATCCCAGCACTTGGAGGCAGAGGCAGGCAGACCTCTTGAGTTGAAGGCCTGCTCTACAGAGTTGAGTTCCAGAACTGTCAGAACTTCATAATGAAACAACTCTTGTCTCAAAGGAAAAAAAAAAAAAAAAAAAAAAAGCCAGAGACTTAAGAGAAACACTGCAGTTTTCTAACAAAATAGAAATCTTAAAATAGTTCAACATGTCTTTGATTTGTAAGAGTTCATATTTTTTCTGTGTCATGTGGAAATTCCCATCTTACATTTCAGTTTAAGAAATATTTATTAATTGGTTGTACTGCAAAAGGTAGTAAGATTGAATAGGTACAATTTACAAACTTTTAATCATTAACATTTATTAGAGACACCCTGTATGTTGAATACCATGCTAAGTTCTTTTCAGCCAATAGAAATGACATCAGAATAATTACTTTTATGCCATTTTTAAAATGTAGACTTAGAGTCCATAGAAGTAAGAAGCTTGCAAAGAGTTTGAGTTACTAACAAGGAAATAGTTCAACCTCAGGTATGTTAGATCCTAATGCATGTTATCATTCTATACTACTCTGTCTTTGTGGATTCCTTGATCTTTTAAGAACTAAGAAATAAGTGAAAATACTGCTAACAGACCATGATAGAGTTGAATACAGAGCTCATTGATTGAAAAGTAGCAGCATGGAGTTGTATAAAATGAGATTTCACAAGAGGAGTGGCACACTTTGACAGACTTGAAAGCTGAGTAAGGTGTTATTCTGCGTAATCAAAGGAGTTTGGATATTTAGTGATGGAAAAACACAGGCAAGCAGAACTTTGAGTAGTGTGGCTTCAAAAGTCGGAATTTGTTTCCCTGCATTTTGGATGGTAGTTGCTTCATGTCTATGTAGTTTGACCGTTTGATGGGAAGTCTCCTTTCTACTCTTAGAAACTAAGATTCCCCACTCCCGCCCAAGCCTCCTAAGGTCTGTATCTATTAACAATTATCACAGTTACAACCTTCAAATATGGTAAGATGTTTTAAAAGTACTTATTAGCTTGTGTTCAATAACAATAATAAACCTATTGAATATTTGCATAAGATATTTTCAGGGCTCTCTGAGAAGAATGGCATTGTTTTACAATTGCAAAACTCTTTAGTTTGGCTTAACTGCTGAAAGCTTCATTTGCATCCCTTCTGTAGTCTCAGTCATGTGTGAACCCAGCCAATAATTAGCTTCTAAAATTCTCCCCTGTACACCCAGGAAAGAGTGTAGAGTGCCAGCGACAACATTTTAGTTTGACAAAAACACTGTGGACCTCACAGGTCCCCAAACAGACTCCAGAGATGCCGACACCATACTTTGAAAACCAGTGCACCAGAGAAGGTGTTACAGAGCATAGGAGACAGAGACAGGCTTGCTGTCTTGCTGATGTTTTAAAAAAAAAAATCACAGAATACTGAGCTGTACCTTGAGCCTTGCAAATTTTAACCTCTTTGGGTTTTGTTTTTTTTTTTTTTTTGTCATTTATTTACTCAACATTTGTATAGGAATAAGGCCTACTCTAACTATACTGAGCGCTGAATATACAAGGACTAAGACACCATTTCTATAGTCTGGAAAGTAAGGGTAGAGATAAAGCGGTTTGGAGTGTGAAAAGCCTACCCTGTGCCACTGTGTGTAACGTGGGCAGGGGTGTGTGTGTGGTTGCTTCTCAGACTCTACTGTGGATGAAAACCATTTAAAGTGGTTCAGAAAAATAGAGAATCTTGCCCTTCACATTCTAGGTCTTCAGGCGTAGTCCACCTCAAGAACGCCTCCTGGATTGGAGATACCACTGGCCTACCATTGGCAAGTTCATTGCTCAGCACTGATAATAAAAAACATACAGAATCAAAACATGAGAACGTAAGGGCCTGCCCAATTAGATGTGCTATTGATTAGTTATTTTCAAATTGTTATAGAAAATAAAGGTGGCCGGGCAGTAGTGGCACATGCCTTTAATCTCAGAGGCAGGCAGATTTCTGTGAGTTCAAGGCCTGTCTGGTCTACAGAGTGAGTTCCAGGACAGCCAGGGCTACACAGAGAAACTCTATCTTGGAAATAAAAAAGAAGAAACAGAAAGAATCATGCTGTACAAATTTTCATCCTGGAAGGCAAGACTAAGAGGTGGTGTTTAAAACAAACGATTTATACAAAGACTAGAAAATATTTGCTTAACTAGCCATGAAAGTAAATGTCCAAACATTTCCACTTATTTCTTGGTATTTAGTAGATGGTCTCATTGCAAATAAAGAAGGCTCTGCTTACAGAAGAAATCGGAAGGTATTTGATTTTACACACAAAAAAGACGTGTCCACAAAGGAAGTAAGTCACCTGCTCCAGGCCGCCTCACTTGGTGTTTTCCAGCCCTGAGTCAGGCTGCCAGAGATGCATGTACAGCCCTGAGTCTTATATCTTAGCTAATGATTGTTTTCTTTCCTTAATATTTCCCAGAGAAACAAAGCTGAAAAAGTCAATTTCTGAATTTGTATATGGGATCCTAAGTGAACTAGGCCTTGAATATGACTGTCAGTGCTAACTAAAGAAAACCAATGGGTCTAGGGCCTGAGAGAATTTCATGTGTGACTTTTCTAGGGCCTCCTCAGCGAAGACCTACAAACTGAGTGCCTGAAGAAACTGAAGCTTGTCTTACAGGTTTGAAAGTTAATAGTCCACCATCAGGTGTGGGCAGTGTGCTTCCGTCGCGTGTCAGGGGTCTGTCCTCGGCTGTGCCCCATGACGGCCATCTTGTTTGCAGGCAGTCTTCTGCAACAGAAGCCAGAGAGAGGCTCTAGGAACCTTCCAGGTGTCTTCTCAGATCAGCGCATGTCTGTCTAAATTTCACTCTCCTTACAGGGCACTGGCCGTGCTGGTTTGGGGCTCATTGGTCTCACTTTGTATTGACCTCACATCCTAGGTGCTCTGCCTTTAACATATTTATGTGGTGTAAAGGGGGAGTGGGCACAATTCAACCTGTAACAAATCCTCTCCCTCTTTCGCTTTAGCTAGAATATACTGCACTTGCCAAGTAAATGCAGAATTGCTAAGGTTTTTTATTTTTGTTTTTTTTTTTTTAAATCAGCTTTATTAAGAATATGATGAAAGGGACAGGCCATCTCCCTAAGAAAACACATATAAGAAATTTACCACTGTCCCCCCCCAAATATGATCTATGCAAAGAGTATCACCTCAACAATTCAGTTTACAATATAACGTGAAAGATAATGATCACTTTGTATGTAACTTTCAATAATATGT